GTTAGTGCTGTCTAGATTTTCGAACTCCCTCTCATTTTCTGTAGAACTTGTATCACGATCAACAGAAAAATTTGAATCCATCTGCGACAATAAAGAATCATATCAGACAGTATTATATACAACAAAAAAATCAGATTGTACTAACAAGCTTATACTTTGACAATTAGAAAGTATTATCACTACAAAGACTTTGATAATGTGAAAGTGATCTTCAAAACAATCAAACAATTCGATAAAAACAAATATATAGAAACCAATCGATATATAAACCAAACATCAAAACCTAATTGATCAAAAAAAGAAGCTTTCGATATTAAAGGCTAACCTCTAAATAAGTTCTAGAAAAGACAGAAGGCTCGGATGGATTGAAAGGATGAGAGGTAAGGTTATATATAGTGGCCATCTTCATCGATTACGCAGAAGCTTCAGATTGAATCGAGGAGGTTTGGTATTTGAACTAGGGCTCGCCACCACGGGTTCGAAGAAGACAAAGAATCCCTACTAAATGAAACCTCTTTTCTGTCGGCTTAATAAATGGTCTCGTTAACTACGGTTTTATAATCGGATTGCGGTTCAATCCCGAACCGACCCGATAATCGTAACATTAGAAAATCAAAACCCATTCGGGTATTTTCTCACAACCGTACTTGATCCAGAACCGAGATTTTGGGTCGGTATAAGGTTCGGTTTTCGGTTACGGGTGTTTACGCCCAGGCCTACCGTTGAATAGGTTAGTTTTGTATTTGACTAGAATGTTAAAAAGTTGACAAAAAAAAATGTAGATTTTAATTTCAGTATACTAATTTCAAAAAAAAAAAAAGATAGACAGTACATGAAAGTCTACTATTTTATTTTGGTCAAATGCAAAACTAACCCCCCGTATTTGAGAGTAGACTTCTTATGAAGTCAACAGGTATGTAGACATTTGTTTCTGTTGACTAATAGTAAATCAAATTTGGTCAATTGCAAAACTAACATCTGTCAAAAAAATTCAGACATGTAGACTGCTACTAAAGTCTACCTCAGTAAGTCAAATCTTGGGTGATTTTTGGTCAATTGAAAAAAATAATCTTTTTGATATTTAGACTGAACTGGAAATCTACATGTATAAAATCATAATTTTTTTCAAATATAGAAAGTAACCCGTAAAATTTTCATTTGCAAAAACTAACCTAAATAGAAGACTGCATATGGAGTCTACATGTGTAAACTGTAACGAAAGTCTACATTTACGCAGACTGCTTATGGAGTCTACGTTTGAAATATATTAAAAGTGAATTTGTGTATTAGTCATTAAGTTTTTTTCAAGATTTTTTTTTTTGACAGTGTGTGTTAGTTAATTCTAATATGTTTGAGTGATTTTTAAAAGAAAATATGTTATATGTATGAAATTATGATACATTTGATTTAATCATGTAGTTAGCTAATAATCATACACGTATTGGTAAGTCTACTTTATAGATTTGTAAAACATGATCGCTGGCTATGTAAATTTTCTATATTTCACAGGAAATGGCTCATTACCTGTTATTGTGTATGAACTTATGTTTAATTTGTAGGCTTCTTTGGTATTGTTATGAAGTGTTAAACAAGTCTGATTTCCATAATGTAGACTTTTTTAAATGTGTATAACAAAAGCGGACTTCTTTATTGACATGTAGGATAGTAGACAAACACTAAAGTCTACTCTTTTTTTTTTTTTGCTATTGGAGTTGTATTGATTTGTACTATTAGTCTCTTTTGTGTTCAAAATCTCTAAAATTGCTATAAAACAAGTCTTCATATTACATAATTTTAACACATTCAATATTGTGTGTGTTAGTTGTTGTTTTAGCTTATGGTGGTTTTTAACTGTTTGGTGACTAGAGTATTTTCTAAAAAATTGATTGCTAACAAAAATTAATAATATCATACAAGTGCAACACAATTTAAAAATTAATACAATGTTTATTGATTATGTATCAAAATATTTATTTACAAATGAATATTTTGTAAAGATAAATTATTACGAAGCAATTTTTTAAAACTCTAGAGTGTTTGCTTATTCATAATCTTGATATCTCAAATGAAATCTTGGAAAAGAGTACCTGCAAAATAAGATAAAATTATGAGAAAATATAAATTAAACATATTTAAATTAGTTTTAGTAGACTTCATAAAAGTCTACTTAAAGTTTATGAAAAAACATAAGACAAACAATTAAAGTCATAACCTTGTAAACTTCATTAGAAGTCCATTATATATTAGATAATTTTCAGATCTGAAAATTTTTTACATTTGAAAATGTGAATCTTCCATTTTTGGGAAAACTAGATAAAAACCATAGAAAAAAATACTAACAAAATATTGATAAAAGTATGTGAAAAAACATTATACATAAAAAAGCCATTTCTAGTTTTGTAGACTTCATTACAAGTCTAGTCTATCGGATAATTTTCAGATCTGAAAATTATGTACATGAGAAAATGTGAAACATAGTTTTTAATCTGAAAAGAAACCTTAAAAATAGAATTTATATGATAAAATAGTAGCAAAGTAAATGCACAAAATGTGTATTTATAACTTTATTTGAATATAAACCTAAAAATACACATTTAGAATCTATTATCTAAGACTTACATTTATAGAGTGGAGGGGGATAACCATGAATTAACCTACAAACAGATAATATTGTGAAAAAAAAACATTATGAAAAAATTAACAAACTGAACAAAAATGCATTATCACCTTCAAAAAATTGAGCAATGAAAGAGTTTTAGAGAGAAGGGAAAGAGTTTTAGAGAGAAGTGATAGTTCTTTTAGAAACTTGTGCAGCCATTTAGATAGAGATTATCTAAATTTCATTTATATAGGGAGAAAAAATTGTAACTAGGTTAAAAATTTCGATAGTATAAACTTCTTTTGAAGTCTACATAATTAAAATTTTGGAGTATACTTTATTGTAAGTCTACTTAGTAGACTTTTTTGAAATCTACTATGACTATTTCATTATTGTTACCTAATCAATATAAATTGGTTAAAATTGTTTAATTATATGAAATTTTAATTTATATACCTCATATTGATTCTTATATTGATGACCTAAAAGAAATTTCACACCATTTATTTTTATATATTTTAAAATAAATAATTTAGAACGTAAACTTTGTAATAAATCTATAATATTGACTTCATGATAAGTCTACACCTTGTAGACTTCTCTCTATTAAATATTGACTTCATAAGGATAAAATTGTAAAATTGCATTCTAATTTTTTTGTTTAGTCATAAGGGGTAAATAAATATTTCCCTATCCTTTTAGGTTAGTTTTGCATTTGATTGAAACTATGGTACACTTTTGCATTTGATTTAAAATTTTAGGTTGTTTTTTGCAAATGTTCCCATAAATTTCCTCAAAAATTATAATTTTACGCAATTAGAATTAAAACACTTAATTTTAAATGGGTTTGATAAAAATTTCAGGTTTGTTAATTTTAAATCAGATTGTCCAATTCAATTTATAGATACTGTTTTTAAAAAAATCAATTATTTAGAATTAAAAATTACAATTATATGCGACTAAAATTAAAAAACTTAATTTTAAATGGGCTTGATGAAAATTTAAGGTCCACTAATTTTAAATCATATTGTTCAATTCAATTTAAAGAAAAATGGTATTTGTTAATAAAATTTTTAGATATCTTATTTTCTTGTGCATGTTTTTTTATTTTATTTTTACTGTCTAAATAATTGATTTTTAATAAAATATTTATAAAATCTAATTTTAAATAATAATTTCAATCACTAAATTTAAAGTATAATGGACAATCTGATTTAATAAACAATCTAAACAATATACTCTAATATTTTACATTTAATTATTTATTTTATCAAGTAAAAAAAGTACACTATAAAAAATACAACATGATAGTTAAGAAAAAGACACTAAATAAAAAGAAAAAGATACACCGACATCAGAACTCAATAACCTATGAAATATAAATGTGCATGTTCTTTACAACTAACACAAAAACATAATTATACATAACATACATCCGCGCGTTATTTTAATAAAATTGCTAAATATCTTATGTTTTTGTGCATGTTTTTTTTTTTCACTGTCTAAATAATTGATTTTTTGAAGTATCTATAAATTTAATTTTAAATAATAATTTTAAATCACTAAATTTATAGTATAATTTAATAAAACACACAATCTAAACAAGATATTCTAATAATTTAAATTTATTGTTTAGTTTATCAAGTAAAAAGTACACTATTAAAAAATACAACATGATAGTTAAAAAAAGACACTAAACAAAAAGAACAAGATACACCGACATCGAAACTCAATAACCTATTAAACATAAATGTGAATGTTCCTTACAAGTAACACAAATACATAATTATACAGAACATACATCCGCGTAGATGCACGGATCAAAAGCTAGTTCATATTAAAATATATTATCTATTTATGTAAATATCATTTAAATTTAATTATATACTATATAGAATAAATAAATAATACTATGATTTTCATTTATTTGTGATTACTCCAGCTTAATTGTATAAATAATATTAAATTATTTACAAGTGTCAAATTATTTCCATTCAGCTTAAAAATTATTCAACAAATTATAGAATGCCAAGAGTCAACTTTTCCCCATAGAAAAAGTTTATTTTATTAATAAAGATATTTAATTATTAGTTTGATATATTTATTATTTCATAATACGTTAAATGAACACAATATAAACAATGACATGATAAATAATACTCATTCTACACAAGTGCGATCGTAACCATATGTATCTATGTACATTGAGTTCATTACATAAACTGTTATTATTAGACTTCAATATCCAACGACTTGTCACTTAGGCTCCAAACATGAATTCCAGTTATTATTTTGTGTATCTCTAAGGACTTAAGATGACAGAAGGAGTCTTGTCTGTCTCACCTGAGTTTCAGGCTTCATTTTCCTCACAGGAATATTGACTATTCAAAGAAGCTTTTGACTAAATCTGGTAAGTTTCGGAGCTAAGATTAGTGCTGCATCCGGAGCTTTCAGTCAAAGACTGATCAGAAGCTTGGACTCCAGAAAGTAGGAATCTTTGGTGGGAATTGCAAATGTGAATGGCTCCATCACAGTCATTACAGAGCAGTGCTCTGTCATCTAAGCAGAAAAAGTAACCTTTTCTCTCCTACATAATAATATGTGTTTATTAAGACAACTGGTAAAACACCTCTGCGAGTGTTAACAGAGATAATGGAAACGAACCTTGCATATATCACATAGAGGAGCTGCAGATGATGTGGTGGATGCAGTTTTCTGTAGAGGAACTCGGTGATGTCTCTGGAAAAGTTTATTAGCATCATGAACCGTAACGTCACATGGCTTGCAAAGAGCAGCTTCATCTGAACAGCAAAATACTTCTGCTTCAGCTTTTTCACACACTTCACACTGTATCTTCATCCTTCAAGTTGCTAATACAAAGACACAGAAAATGTTCCTTAACATTATTAAGAAGTAGGACAAGGAGTGAATCTAAGACAAGTGGAACAAGAAAGAACAAACTTGAATAGGTCCACATGCTGAGGTTACACCAACTTTGTGGGTGGCATTTAAGTCAATAAATGTTGCTACCAAAATCCCCATGACAAGATTCTCCAGAAGCTTGTGTACTACATGCTTCCTTTTGAGATATAAATTGGCAGACAAAACAACAAGCTTCTCTTAATGCACAAGCATGGCAAGCCAAAAGTAATGAGAGGACCACACTATGCAAAACTAAGATTGGGGGATAAAGTGAATAACCATAGGCAATGGAGATCCAACACCCTAGAATGTCAGGAGCTCATGGCACATTCACACCCACCATCCCTTTCCCATGCATAGACAAAGCTCTATGACTCATCAACATTCCCATCTCTCGAATGATCAAAAGCTGTAATAGTAATGGGTCAAAGAAAATAGGCTGCACAGTAATAGTAATGGGCCAATTAAATTTTATTATTATCTCATTAATATTTTAAATTAAAATTTGGATTTAATTGAGCATAAAATTAAAATAAAATAAACAATTTTGTTCCTTTTAATCTATATTAAAGAATCAATATACACAGACATATATATATATATATATACATATATATATTTAAAATTATAATCTTAGATAGTGTTTTTCATCTATTTCTTTCAGATCAAATATATTAAATCAACTTGTAAAAAATGATATAAATTTGTATATTTATCAAAAGTACAATTAAAAAGTATTTCTAAAAAATTAGATATATAACATAAACTAATTATATCTTATGATTTAAAATTTCTAATAAAAACAGAAAATAATTGAAAATAATTTTTATTAATAAAATGTTAGAATCATAAAAAGATTAGAAAATAATATTTAAAAATTTAAAAAATAATATTATGTTTCTATTACTATATTATTTATTATTAAAATTTAATGTAATTGTTATAGTGATGATGTATAATTTACTATCGTATTCTAAAAAGTTTACTAAAACAGAAATAAACATTACATGTATTGTCCATGTCATATTAAACCATAAGACATGTCATCTTTCGATTATATCATGTCATATTAATTTAATGAAATTTATTGTAGAGACAACATGTGTCAAAATCACTTTGTAAATAATGAGGGGAGACTCTCAAAGATACGACAGCCCATCCAATGTGTAATAACATACTTAGTGAGACGTCCATAGCCAGAAATAAGACTGGGAAAATAAACTGAACTCAAAAATCTGAATCAAATCCAATCCGATAAAAAGGAATCAGCATCGATCCGAACTCGACGTGAGTACCAAATGAATTTTTTTTTCGGTATTTCAAGTTATGGGTTTAAACCAAACCAAACCTAAGGTTAAATGAATATTTGAAAGAACTCGAAATTTCAAAATTTTAAAAAACCTTTTACCATACTAATCTCAATTTTTAATATGTATACAAAACACATTAAGAATATTATTTAGTGCCTATAATAATTAATTATTACATGAATAATTAACACAAATACTTACTTTAATATACATTTTTTGGTTAATATTAATATTTTTATGTTTAACACTGTATTTGAAGTTTAGTAACGAAAATTTATTTGTTTTTGAAGTTTAAACAATTTTGTTCCTTTTTAACTTTAAGTAGTATTTCTTACGTTGTTAGTTTTTAACTTTAATTTTTTTTATTTTTATGTAAGAATTTTTGTTCATTCAGATTTTGATTTTTCATAAATCATGATATGTTTAATGTTGTCACATATAGTTCAATGACAAGTCTTAAAGGCGTAATAGATGAGCTTCAAAAAATTATTTTGAAGGACATCAATATGGTTTGACGAAGCTCAATATAAAAATTTATTAAAATATTTAAAAATGTATTGATTTTAATCAAGTAAAAATTAGTATTTTTTATCTAAACAATCATATCTAAAGTCAAGTTATAAAAAGCCAAACACTTTGGTTTCCGCCTTCTACAAGAAAACCAACAAAAAGCCATGATGAAGCACTTGCCTTACGTTACTATATTAAGCCTCTTCATAGGAGCTATTTTTCTTGGAAACATGAAACCAAGAGAAGCGTCTTTGCCCTTTGCACTCAACCATCCGAGAAGCTTGTTATCAGATCTTTGGCGAGACAGGTTTCCTGATCCATTCAAGATCTTGGAGAGGATCCCACTAGAACTCGAGAGGGACCAGAGCGTAGTTCTATCCCCAGTGAGAGTGGACTGGAAAGAAACAACAGAAGGACATGAGATAATGCTCAATGTGCCTAATCTGAAGAAGGATGAGGCGTGTAAATCGAGAGATATGAGGAAGAATACTTGTTATTGACATTCTATGATGTTACATCACATATATATAAACTCGTAGAGATATGTACAAATCTAGGGGGGTGTATTGAACCAAGGGTTTTACAAGCTTTTAGAGTGTTTGAATATTAGAGGGATTTAAGTGGGTTTTAGAGTTATTTGAGTTATTTTACTGATAATTTTAAAAATACAAATAAAAATCTTTAGGTGATTTGGTAGAAGATTGTTAGAGTGCTTTATAGATTTCAGAGTTATTCAAGTGATTTGGCAAAATAGTTTCTAACAAAAAAAAAAGTCCAGCGAGGATTCATAAAAAAAGAAACAACTAGATATTAAACAAAGCAAAAAAAAAAAAATGTTGCATCAAGATCACACGTGCATAGCATCTGCCCACATAGTTTCTGCTATATTTGCTCTCCAATTATTAGCATTCACCCTTTGTTGTTCTTGAGTACCATGAACAACTTCATCATCAATGTTTTCGTCTTCACCTCGTCTTTGAACAACTTCTTCTTCTTCAGGAAGAAACATATCTGAACGACATTCCTTACGTAAATAGTTATGTAAAACAACACATGCAAGCACTAACTCTGCTTGCGTCCTATATGGGAATGGTGGTGCACATTTGAAGATAAGGAATCTAGATTTGAAGATACCAAAAATCCTCTCTATTACGTTTCGCAAGCAGGAATGGCAATGGTTGAACAACTCATTTTGATTTTTGGGATCGTTTCCTTGTTCTCTAAACTCTTGGAGATGATAACGAGTACTTCGAAATGGAGCTAGAAAATTACGGCGATTAGCGTATCCACAATCGACCAAATAAAACTTTCCTGGAAATTTACAATGTATACAAATATAATTATGAAAATGATTAAATAACATTTTTAATCGAAATAGAGATGTACCTTCAGGAACTTTTAATCTGTTTGTATTTCTTGTCAAAGCATCTTGTAATACTTTTGCATCATGAGCCGATCCTTCCCACCCACTAAGGACATATATAAATTCCAAATCAAAATTACATGCTGCTAAAACATTTTGCGATAATTGTCCTTTTCTGTTACGATAACTAGCCGTGTCCTTTCCAGTTATCATTGCAAGAATATGTGTACCATCAATAGCTCCAACACAGTCCTAAAAATAAAAAATAAAGGTATATAATGTAACAGTTTAGTTATATTTGTGAAATAGACATAGTTAAAGATCGAGCTATGTACCTTAAAATATGGATAAAATCGTGTACTATCTCTTATTTTCGGAGGAACTGTAGTACTAGGTTTTGCCATGTAACTTGGGGCAAGTGCGTTTAATACTTTTAGAATCGTATTAAAACTTGTACTAATTGAGAAACGTGACCTGTTGAATCTATCTTGAGCCTGAATATACCTTGAATTCTGACCGACGATAAATAGAAACGTAGCCAGCATTTCTTCAACAGAAACATGTCTTGTATCTTTAATTCCCATCCGTTCTCTGATAATCGAGCATAACTTCAGAAATACATCAGGATACATACGATATAAATGTCGAAAATGATCAGGATCTTCAACCAACGCTGCTTGTATGTATTCATGTCCAAGTCTTGTAATGGATCTCCTTATTGGGTATTGTATTTGCAAAGTATGCAAAGTCAAATACCGGATCTTCGTAATGATTGACAAAACCAATAACAAAATATCAACGTCTGTCATAGAATTTGTCATCTTCTTCCTTCTTTTTCTTGTTTGTATCTCTTCATTTTCAGATACAACGCGATTCATTGAATAAGCCTACACAAAAAATATAATTGTAATCTAGAAAATATAATATTAGATTCACAAACTCACCATCGGAGAGAATCTTTGACTAAAGTGATTGAGAAGAAATTGATAAAGGCAAATGAATTAGTTAAAATATACTTACCAGACACAACTACCCGCCAAGTTTTACCGCCAAATAATTTCAGAGTTACACAAGCTATTTATGTGATTATCTCTTCGTAAACTATTTGATTATCTTTCTTGAATTTAGGCTATCATATAGAAAAAGAACAACTAAAAATATTGGAACAAAATCTGAAACTCAAAATTAAAAAAAAAAAAAAAAAATTCTCATAAACGTTAAACTAGAAAAAACCATAACAAATTATAAGTAATGATAAAAACTGAAAAGAAAATTTAAAAAGCTCCTCAACTGAAAAACCATCTCAACACTTTGATCTTCTTAATGCATCCAACTTCATGGTTTACGAAGATTTTGTTTAATCCATCCACAACGATCTGCTGCAGACATATTGACAAAGCCAGATTTCATGCCTAAACTGTGAACAAGGGTCATTGCCTCATAACGCAAATCATCATCCAAATCAGGAATTTGTTTGATAGCATCCCAAACATTGTTAGCTTTTTCTTCAGCTTCTTTTTCGACAGCTTCCTTTTCCCATCGCTGTTGTATCATGCCAAAAATCTTGCTACTGACTTCTGTCACTTCATCCAAAGCCTTGTCTAAATTAGAATCAGTTCTAGCTTTCTTCCTGAGGGGAAGTTTATCTCCTCTATTTTTCTCTGCTGAAGAACAAACTCCATGTTCATATACTTGCTGGTGTACTATTCCTTCTCCATCATTCATGACTTGGACAGAGTCTAAATCATTTTCCCTCTCGCCTTCTTCAACTTGTGAGCCAAGTGTATCAACATGATCACCTAATCCCATAGCATTCTGCCCAGTTGCAGTATTTTGTCCAAATATCATTCGTAATTCCTCAAAATCTTCGAATGAATCATCACGCATATGCTTATTACCTGGATTAGCCTAATTAAAGAAGAGAAAATATCATTATATAAGAATCATACACAACACTTTCATATTCATATATTTCAAGAAATCATTTATACCTTCAAATAGACATCCCAGACTTCAGCGTCTGCTGTGAATTTTTTTTGTTTCAGAGTCCCACCCAAAACCAGAATTACAACGAAGAAAATCTGTCAAAGTTTGGTACCTAGCTTTCAAGATCTTCATTCTATTTTGATACTGGCCATATGTTTTCTTAGATCCAAGTTGTTGGTGTAGATTCGATAGTATTCTTGTCTCCACTGTTAGCTTATTGAATTTACCATTAGCATCACGAAAACCATGGTTGATTGCATCCACCAGTGATCGGAGCAACAACTTGTGTTCAGGTCCAGACCATGAATGGTCCTGACCCTTACTTTTTACATCTTGTGGATCTCCCATTGGATAGAGCTAGCTAAGCATTAAATTGTACACGTTGAAACCAAAAGTGATGTAAGAAAAAATAAATAAAAAGAATACTCACTATGGAAAAGGAGATGATCTCTGAAGTTCTATACCAATTTCAATTTGGCTGGCGTCTCTTTTAGAAGCTGAGATGACAAAGGCAATATTGATCATATATATAAGAATATCTATCAAGTATCAAGTCAAAACCCTAATAAATCAACTAAACAAGAAGCCCATAATTACTATTTTTATCAGAAATCAGCCCATAAGGAATAGGCTGAGAAATCCCTATTTTACTTCCTTGTTGTAGAAGGTTCGCAAGTCTATTCCACCTAAAATTCCCATCCTTGAACAGAATCTCAATAAGAGCATCTCTTAGATATGGATTCTGATAAGTGAGAAGCCTTTTAGCAAAATAAGGATACGATGCAGCTAACAATATGAAATTAGGATCTGCATAGAGTGCCAAACCTTCAAACACAGTAAGCGACTCAGAATGAAAGCATAGTCAGGTGGAACATTAAACTGATACTGATAAAACACAGCGCTTATACCATCAACGAGCGTTTTGAAGTTAAGCTCGCTAACCGTATAAGTAAGTGCATCGTCAAAGAAGTCTCTGAGAGCTGGTACAATGGAAGTAACATCCACATCAGGTTACAAGAACTTCAAAGCATATTAATCTCTCGCCATGGCTTCGTAATCTCGGTTGACTAAATGAACAACATGGCCTATGATAGCATACCTAGCTTGCTCTGGTGTCTCACTCATCATACCAAAGTATAGAATGTCTAGTTTCCCATCAGGTGTTGCCATGAGATTACCAGGATGAAGATCCGCATGGAAAAAAACATACTCCAAGAGCTGCCTTAATTAAGCTACATTGGATTCCTATGTTCACAAGATCAAGAACCTTCAAGCCTTGACTATCAATAGCAACTTGTTCGTTAAGTTTAGTTCTCTCTACCCAATCCATCGTTATCACCTTGCAGCTAGTTTTTAATCCCAGAAGATATCATGGACCAGAACATCAGCTTTGTCAGCATAGAGCTTCTTGAACCTTCTAGCGTTCTCTGCTTCTGGACATAGTTTAGCACCTGATAAACTTTGCAGACGAACTCATCGATGAGAGTGAGGACATCGGTGGTGATGAAGTATGCATACTTATTTACGAGTTTCCTAACTCCTCTGATGAGATCGAAGTCAAGACCAATGGCTTCTTCGATCCTGGGGCGTTGGACCAGTGAGAAAAAAGACCAAAATCAATTCTATTAATTAGGACTACATAAACAAGTAAAGGTCAAGTGTCTGTACAGCAAGGCGATTGTGAAATCTTCCTATAAGAAATAAATAAAAGAGATCCATGAACTCACCTCGCATTCTCTCCGTCTCGTCCACTACGCATTCTCTCCGTCTCGTCCAATTTCAATTTTAGATGTAAGTGATGGAAATCACTGGTTCAGGTTTCACAGAGGTATTGGTTAGAGAAACTTTCACAGAGGTATTGGTTAGAGAAACCTGTTGCAGAATAAATTGGAGGAAACATGGATCCAAGTGGTGCTATTGATTGTCATGTATTTGAAGAATGATTTTTTCAGTTCTCAAATAACACCTCTGGAGATGTTATTCTATAGGAATTATTTTTAGCTAAAAAGTGTCGTAACTTGTTCTCAAATCCTTTTTACAAATTCTTATTTTTAAATACTGCTTACCTTTGAATAACAGAGAGTTTGATTTACTTTTTATAAATTATCAATTGAATAACAGGGGATTTTAAATGATGTTCAACAACTCTGTACAAACTCTAAATTGAATAACACCGGATTTGTAAAAAAACAAACAAATCATCACTTGAATAACAGGGAATTTTAATCAAATCCCAAAATCTCCTAAAACTCCCATTCCAATACACCCCTCCTAATGTTACATTGCGTCTTAGAGATAGCTACAAATCTGATGCAATATCACATCTTTATCTCCAACAACTTATACTTATCTATACAACATCAAAGATACGTTATCTCGGTTTGAGAAACATCTAGAACCGTAACACTCCCCCCAAGTTGGAGCGTGCAAATTACGCTCTCCAAACTTAGACAACAATTAGTGAAACGCTGATTTCCCCAATGCCTTCGTCATGATGTCTGCTAGCTGTTCATTCGTCCGAACAAGTATTGTAGCAATAAGCTTGGCTTGTAATCCATCACAAACAACATGAAAATAAGATTCAATGTATCGCAGATTTTCTATCACAAAACTCCGCCATCGGTGCTTCATGTTTAACTCCAAGGTCAGACATCGCTTGATATTCTGCTTCAGCAGACAAATGTGACATTGTATCCTGTTTGTTCGTCCTCCATGTAACATGTTGATTTCCAGAAGCACCATATTCGCGGAGAGAGAACGTCTTGTACGAGAACATGAGCTCCAGTTGGAATCACAAAAGGCACATACCTGCAGGTTGTTTGAACCGAGTTCGGTCTATTCAGTGAATGAGTGATAGGACTCGTCGGTGGGTTATTTCAAAAGGCGTTTGTTTACTATTTTGAGTCGAAGGTACATTTGTATTAAAGAGAGAGTTCATTTTAAAAACAGGGAAAAGAGAGGCGGAGCGGAGTCTCGCTGAGAGCTCGGCCGCGCCGTACAAGTCGGGAAAGAAACAAAGGAATCAAAACCCTAGTTCTAGCCGCCTTAAGTGTGAGTGTGTTTTCGGATCCCCTTCTCGTTAGCTCCTCTCTCCCTTTTATAGTGGTTGCACCTTGACTTAGCGGATTCGTTGCGACCCTCGCGGGTTTTCGCCAAGTGGGCCTTGGTCGGCCCGATAATCTAAGCGCCTTGTCTAAGCATCCTTAACTCGGTTAACCACAGTGATTAGCCGAGCTAAGCTCAACTTACCGCTAATCGCTGGAGAGCTCTCCTGTTGGGCCTGAATTCGTTTGGGCTGAGCTCGTTATCATATGGGCTTGGTGAGGAAGTGCATTCCACCACCTACAGTAAGTTCCCCAGGTCCGCTGTCGAATTATGATCCAAATCGGAGCGGATTTAGCTAAGTCGGCTCATAGAATAACGGGGTCGGTTAACGCGTTGCGTCGTTTTCCTGAACAGCGGCCTTTTGATTCGCGGATTCAGATATTGCCGCTCTCGCGAACGCGGGCTGTCGACTGGGAACCAATCCCATCTGCCAATTCCGACCGCGAGTTCATTTCAAGAGCGTTCGTGGTCGTTGGCTCGGAGTTAGGGAGGGAATGTGAACAGTTGCGGGATCCAGGAGTTTCTCGGGAATTGAAGCCCATTTAACTCGGAATATGAACAGTCGGGAGTGGCCTTTAGGCCCAACTAGGTCCAAGTAGACCTAATTAATGCCTTCGAGAATCACGCCCACCTTCCTTGCCTATAAATACGCTCCCCTTATTCATTCCCATTACTTCTCCGTTTCTTTAGGTATTCCTTTTCTCCCTTCTCTCTAGTTTCTCTCTCTAGGCTTGCTTGTAAAATATATACGTCGCCATTAGTAAGATGTGTCCGCGAAAGAGGTTGTCGGTTTAAGAGAAAGGGAAGGCAATTGCTACGACCGCGAGCCCGGCCCGAGATGAGACCACCGGTGAGCCTTTAGACGACTTCGATCTAAGGCATCGGGAAGCGTTAAGGGATTCTGCAGGTCTCGACCTGGCGCAGAGATTACTGGTCGTCGATGCTGAAAGGGAGTTTAGGGGCGAAGAATTTTTCCGCGGAGGCAATGAACGATCCGAAGGTGTCGAGCCGCGGATCTCCGCCGTCTGGTCGGTCCCGAGCCGCTCCGTCAAGGCGAACTCGGTCTAGACGATTTAACCGAGCCAACGTGGAGTCGGAAGAAGGGGATTCTCGCCCGAAGGTCCCTACGCGTTATAGCGGTATGGGGATTTTTGAATGGGAACCCGCACTTCCTGGGGATAAGCTTCGGTGTGTTGTGACCAGTCTTGGGCGAAAACCGAGAAAACGCGTTCAACCGTGAAGTCTGTAGAAGTTTTACTTACGGCTTGCAACGCTGTTGGTGTGACCTACCTGATTCCGACTGCAGATCAGCGCCCGTGGTCGCCTCCGATCGGTTATCAATGTGTCTACGAGTCATACTTCGGAAATGACACTAAGCTTTGATTTCCGCTGCCTCGCCTCGTGACGTCGTATGTTTCGCGCCGAGATCTCGCCCTGAGTCAGATGGTGAACGAAGCTTACCGAATTATGGTCGCTCTAGTTGTCATGGCCGCCGAGATCGATGTGTCGTTGTGCGTTTATGCGTTCGAACAACTGACAACCATCTCTTGCTTGAATCGTCACTCGAATTCGGGCATGTTCTCGATTCGGATTAGGCAGAACTACAACATCATCACGGGTCACCCTGAGAAGACCCCGAACTCGCAGCGTTCGTATTTCTACGTCAAGTCTGACCAGTTCGCTTTCGTCGATCCTCCAACTGGCGACTTTACAACCTATTGGAACAGTGTAGCGGGTAGTTAGCTCGTCTTTGCTGCTGTCGATTTTGTTTGTCCTAACTGTTTTCTCTCATTATGTAGAACCACATCCCAACTACTATCTGTCCGACGCTGTTGTTCCTCCTTCATTCTTGTCCACTGCCCGAGCTTTGGTTGAACTAGGTCATCAACTTTGGCCTGACATTAGCGAGGAGAGGATTCGACTTTGGTCAGAACGCATTAATCAAGGTATTGCGAACTTCCGCCTGTCTGGTTTCCTCTTTCCCTTTTCTTTGTTTGAAGTATGTATGCCACTTAATGTTGTCTTGTTCCGGTAGCTGACTGGGAAGAAGATGCTGGGTGCAAGGTTAGACCCGGGAAAAAAAGATCTAACTTCTATTCGGCAGAAGAGCAGCGAGTAGTCAAAGAAGCATTATAATTGAAGGAGCCTGTCGATCTTTCCCTGGCGATGAAGAAGAAGAAGGAGGGAACATCGCAAGGGACTCAACTGATGAACGTGATTGATAGCTTCGACTTGGGAGGAGG